GTGCGGCAGTTCCTGCAGGCCGACCTGAGCCTCCCCCTGCTGAAACGGCACCGCAAGAGAATCGAGCTCCTGAAGAAGTGCTCCTACTACATCGAGATCCTGCCCAAGCACCTGGCGCTGGGGGACCAGAACTACCGGATGCTGCCCACCACCATGTTCCAGCTGATCGACCCCTGGCGCTTCCAGAGGATGAAGAAGGTGGGGACGATCCAAACCAAAATCCAGCTGCTGCTCTTGACAGACCTGCTAGAACAGCTGGAACGGGGGCGGGAGGAGTTGCTCCACTTCCTGGAGACCTACGACATGGTAACGTTCCTCTCCAGGTGGGATGCAATTAAGCAGCAGCTGTCTGGCCTCTCGGAGCTGATGGACAATTTCCTCGCCATGCTCGTGCCGGGAAGGCTGCATGTCAAACACCGGCTTGTCTCGGATGTCGGGGCGACCAAAATCCCGCACATTCGGCTGGTGCTGAGCACCCAGATGCCGGTGATGTTTGATCGAAAGGAATCCGTGGCGCATGAGGACTGGGTGAGTCTCAAGTGGTTTATCACAAGTCAGCAAACGCAGCCTGAACAGTACGAGCTCAGGTTTAAACTCCTGGAGCCCAGAACCCCCCAGGAGCGGTTGCAATGTGGGATGATGCTGGTCACGTCCAGTATGTGCGAAATCCGGAACCTGCTGCCCGACAGGTCATACAAATTCACAATTAAGCGAGCAGAGACGTACATGCTCGTCTACGACCAGTGGTGCGACGCCATCGCGTTGAAGACAAGCCCGGACGAAGCCATGGAGAGCAGCACGCATGAGACCTGAGGGCCAAAGTGACAGGCTGGCACATGTTCTAGTTTTATCCATTCAAAGAAATGAAACAAAATAAGAGTTGAATAGGAAAATTAAAAGCTTATTTTTAAAGATTTTACATTGAAAAAAATACCAACCTATCAGCTTCTTCTGCCTCACGTGGCAGTTTTCAAAAAGTGCCCCAATATAAGTTGTTCCAGATTGACAATAACTGGAGCACAGCATGACCATGAGCATCTCCACAGCGGCCCGGGGACCTCTGGAAGCAGTTGGCCAAGCAGACTGTGCATGGGTGCAAGATCACCACATTGCACCAGTCTTTCCTGCCCACCACTGAGACTTGTCCCAGGTCCTGAGTTTTCACAGGCGAGATCTCCCCAGCCCGCTCGCCATGTCCTTTCTTCTCTCCCCGTCTCCAGAAAGAGGGTCTCAGTTTCCTGCATTTCAGCTCGCATGAAGCCCCGTCTCCACGATCCCGCACCGCTGCCAGTCTCCACCCCGGGTCCCTTCCCTGCGCTTTTGCCCTCACTACTGGCCTTCTCATGTCCTGCCACGTCCCCTCTCTAAGGGCACACTCTGCAGATGCAGGAAAAAGAGATCCTTTTTGACTTAGAAACCAGCAAAGTGCAAAATCCCCCAGGAATCATCATTTAGAAAACAGGTTTCCTCTGGGTTTCACACTCACAACCTTTCTTTCCCGATTCAGCCCTGGCCGCTCCCCCCCTTCCAGATCTTTCACACAGACAGACCAACCGTATTTCCACAGTCAATAAAAATTTATTGTCTTCTAACAAATGCAATCATCTCTGTAATTATGGCTTAAATATCAAAAAAAGGGAATGTTGAGATGTATAAACATTAGACGCATTTAAAATAGTTGTATCGAAAATGTAGCTCCAAACCTGGTGCAAGTCACAAATTCCAGACATTTAAGATTTAAAAAAAAAAAAAAGTCACATTGAAAACGTCCTTAATATGCATTTCATGACACCTGACATTGCATCTCTGTGGATTAAAAAAGGGTTTATTGCAGTAATTGAGCACTCTGAACCGGGCTGTCCGGTATTTCTGAGACACCCCACAGACCCAGCCCTGTCCTGCTAAGGCCAAGCAGGCTTCTGTGCTCCACAACAACCTCATTGGGAACAAGATCAGGCCAAAAGGGGCTCCTAAGATCACTCTGCTGAGAAACCTGAGACACTGTTTGCTCTACAGGCATGTCACATGCTAAATTCACAGTTAAATTCTAGCAGATCCAAGGACAGGGATGTCACCACTGTGCAGCCAACAGCCCACAGACAGCCTTGAAAAAGTGGCAGGGTGTGGTGGAAATGGAGATGTCCCCATGGCAATACCCCTCCGCTTCTGGGGCTGTACATGAGCTTCCGCAGGCAGGGGAAGACACCCAGCAAGCAGCCTTTAGCAACCCCCGCTGTTCTGCAGGAACGTACCTCCGCCAGACTCGAACCCCTGACATCTGCCATGAAACACGCCCCATCTTCTGACACTTCTGAATTACGGGGCCTCTCCCTGGTCCCCCCGCTTTACCTGCGCCAGGTGAGGGGGTCAGGTCTCGTGGCTGCATCAGGGTTGATGGGAGTTTTGCTAACAGTGGGTTTGTCTGGGATGAGTTGGATAGGGCTGATCCTACTTCGGGCACAGGGTTGGACCTGAGCCCTGGAGGTCCCTTCCAGCCCCACCTCCCTCTGAGTCCATAAGCCTTCCAGATGCCACGTTTCATCTTTATGAGTTTCACTGCACCACCCCGCCAAGATCGGTGGTACCCTGAGCATCCTGTCACTAGACGTGCCCCTCTGGAACGACCTCTAGTTCATCTGGTAGTTTCACACACAGGCACACACCTTGCCTTGATGCTGAGGGTTTTCTGTAAAAACCCTTTCGTCATAAATGGCAAACGAAAAGCTGTCTGCACACATGAAGCCAAACAACTTTTAATCATTTCCCCCCACAAAGTAACTTCTATGATCGTATACACCCAAAACCACAACACACACAAGACTATAATCCATGACATGCTGGGCAGCTGTCTCTAAAACATTAGGTTAATGCCACTTTCTGCTACTGCAGCTTTGTGCTCAATTATACAACAGGCTGTTCAACAACCCTGGGACCTGGACTGAACATCAGCATGGCAGGTACTTTAGGCAGTTGGAAAGCATTTTTCTAAATAGAAGCTGTAACCTACATCTCCAAAACACGTTTCTGGCAAAAACACCCAAGCACTGCTTTATAAAATAAAAGTAATTGAAGGCTTCACTTGAGGTTTTATCCTGTAAGATGCAGCAAGAACTGATCCTTTTTTGTTTTTTTAAATACAAACACATGGAAATATGTATATATAATTTTGGTTTTTGGTCTCCAAAGATATTTAACAGCTAAATAAAATTAAGAAGTATCAGACTATGCCAGCGCAAAGGGATTGATTCCCCTCCAACTTATTATACTAGTTTTACTCGAGGGCAACCTCCGTGATTTCAAGAGATACTCCTGACTTGTATCAAAGAAAGGGGAAGAAGTCCTGTCGAGCTTAAAAGGGCTGCAGTGAATTTCCTAGACATAAGACTCTAACGCTGGGGCTGGCTGTGACATACTGAAATACTTTGAATTTAGGATCCCCATGTCCTTCACAGCTCTCTGCACACCACCCCCCAGAAGTGGCTGCATTTCAGAAACCTGTAAAACAAACCCTGCAGAGTTTATTTTGGAGCCACACTAACGACATAGCAAAATAAGGCCTCTTTCAAAATCTCGAAGATAAGACACATCAGTGTGGGGCAGCCACCTGCCCCAAGCCTTTACGCCCTGTTCCCTTGGTCTTTCAACACCTCCGTGGCACTTGAATTCACAAACTGCTTTTACACTGCCGTAGCAGGACAGCACGGGTGGTCTCCCTCGCTCTCTTTCCCCTCCTGGAAATCTGTCCTACAAATGCAGAGAAGCAAGGAGGCAATTTAAAACAAGGAGTAGGGGAAAGGCAGATAAAGCCAGAGGTTTTCTCTTTCCCCAGCTGCACGTGGGTCAAACTTATCGTGAAGAATCAGAGCATGCAAACCAAACATAGCGTCACATGTGACGGTCCCAGAGGCAACGCCTTCCTATTGCACATTCCTTACATTGAGAAGGGAACCCTGCTGCCTTTTTCTTTAGTGCAAACACAGGAGCAAATCCCTGCTGAGACTACCGACGTCGGATGAGTCGGTAGCTAAACCAAGACGACTGGTGTCCCACAGTGTCTTCATTTGGTAGAGAAGCGCTGCATCCCCACTCTCTCCCTGTGGGACCTCTGGGCATGTCCACGTATTTGGTCTCGGGGAGTGCCAGAGGCAGGCACTTCATACATTCAGAACTGGAACGAGGACAGAAAGCAGCCTCCCCGCAGCTACCACACTTGAACCAGCAGCTTCAAGGCTAACAAAGCTCAGGACTGAGCTACATACAGTTTCACAACTACACAGACATTAACAGACAAGTTAAAGTAGGATGCAGCTTTGCAAGGAGTCAGCATCAGCCCCTTCTTGTTTAGTGATTCAGCAACGTGGCTACTTTAAAAAAAAGTATATCTATACAAACTATGTATATATAGCACAATATATACATCACATCCAACACTGTTCTTAAAAGCTTGCAGCATCCACTGAGGCAAAAGTTCACCAAGATAAAAGTTAATAAATTAGAAGCAGGATTTCTTTGTTTGCTTGTTTGTCCAAGTAGGTTTTCTTTACAAGTGGAAACATTTTCAAGTAAAAACTCAAATTAAAATATCTTTCCAGTATCCATCATCTAGTAGACGTCTTCCATATCACTGTCCACTTGATACAGGTAGAGTTGATGGGTCTATTTAGAAATCCAGCTCAGGCTTGGCCAGACAAATAGCGCTTTGTTTGGCCAATAATGTTTTGCGGTTTACTTTTTGCTATTCCTTCATTTAAGATAAAAAACAAAGCTGGTTTTCAGCTTGGTGAAATAAGGTAGCTTTAAAAATCAGGCATTGGCTTTAAAACTAGCAGTAGCATTCGGAAGTGTTGGTCCTTGTATGGCACATCCCGGCCATTCTTGTAGATCTGTTGCGTGCAACGCTTTAGCTCTTGAGGAAATGGAAAGATCCGTTTGGTCCCCGAAGTGTACCTGCATTCACTAAAAAGGGAGGGTTGGGGACTCCACCGAGGAGCTCATCCAACCGTCTCCCCTGCACATCCATGTCCAAAACTTTTTGGTTTCAAAGACTTCAAAGTTTTGATTTAAGATTGCATTTCATTTAAAAAAAAACAACCCCTAAAATTGCTTAAAAGATGAGCGGCCAACCTACAGGGAAAGGTCTTGGAGTCCCTGATGAATCTCGTTCATCGCTCGACACCCGAATGGCGGAAAGCTGTTGGGACACGGTGCTGTTCCCCTATGCACGCATCACACCGCACGTAGGGGCTGGTTCATCCGGCTGGGGTCCAGGCTCATTGGCGAAGGGCAGATTTTTTCTGGACGCAAATGCCTTGAGCTGAAGTATAGCAACCCTGTTGCCGGTAGTGCTCCAGCAGCCTTCTCCACAGGGGGTTACACTCCAAGAGGTAACGGTTCCCTGTTAGCAGAAAGGAAGAAGAGTGAGTGGAAGAGGCAGATGACAATGAATATGGTTGTGGGGCTGGGGCACAGAATTTGTGGAAAGGCTGAGAGAACCGGGCTGATTTAGTCTGCAAAAGAGACCACTGAGCAGGGAGTGAATAGCAGCCTTCAGCTCCCTGCAGGGGGGCTGCAAAGAGGATGGAGCTGGACTGGTCTCAGTAGGTGCAGATGACAGCACAACGAGCAATGGGCTCAAGCTGCAGCAGGAGAAGTTGAGGTTGGACATTAGGAAAAACTTCCCCATGAGAAGGGCAGTGAAGCACTAGAATGGGTCACCCAGAGAGGTGGTGCAGTCTCCATCCTTGACAGTTTTTAAGGCCCAGCTCAACAAAGCCTTGGCTGGGATGATGTAGTTGGGGCTGGTCCTGCTTGGAGCAGGGGGTTGGACTAGATGTGACCCCCTGAGCTCCCTTCAACCCTTGTTTTCTGATTCAGTGACCCCCAGAGAGAGGAACAACTGGGAGTACTGTGCCCCTCGCATCTTGGCCCCCAGGGAGACCAGCACAACTGGGCTTCGCGACCTGGAAGGGACATTTCCTTCAGCCCCAAAGGCCCCAGGTAATCTCTGTGAAATCACAGTTTTTTTTAATAGCTCAGCCACAACTGCTAGCTATTAAAATCACAAGCGTGTCACTGTCTGCTTCCGGCCACCCGCGAAGTGCAAACAGGTCAGAATCTCAGCAGGGCACGGCCGACTGACCGACTGTGATCGCAGCCTGGCAGGGACAGAAATTAAGCAAGGCTGAATTTGTCACATGTGCCGGCCACATGTGATCTCTGCGGTGCACTCTGAGGGGTAGTTGTGTTACAGGGGCCTGAACAGCCCGCTCCATTCTTCAAACGCGGACATCCGAAAGGTTGGGCTCTCCATCCCCATCTACTACTCACCTATAATGCAGAGTCCTTCCTGAGCCCGCGTGAGGCCTACGTTGATCTGGTTTGGGTCTGTAACAAATCCCAGAAACTTCTTCTGCCAGCTCTTTGTGGGCTTCCATTCGATTTCTGACCGGGATCGGGAGCGTACAGTGGACAGGATCACATACCTCCATTCACTCCCTGCGGAGGAAAACCTGATGTTCAACTGGAAGGTGTTTAGCCAGAACTGGTCAGATCACCTTTCCAGGCTCCAACAGTATCTGTGCCTCTACAACGGTGGCTCTCAGCCTTCTTCGACTTGAGGCATCCTTCCACAACTTTTCTCAATTTAGCTGCAC